AGATCGACTGGACAAAACTATTGTTGGCGATTATCTTGGCGATGGCAGTGAGTGAGTGTCCGGATTTTCTTTTAAAATTTTTAAAATTCTTTTAGAATTTTTAAAAAACTTTTAAACTTTTCCAACTTTCCTCATTATGTGCAAGTAGGAATTTTAAAGTCCAAGTTTTTAGATGCTTACATTCTGGGCGTTTTGTTTCAGGCTTACTTGTTCAGTTAGGTGAAATTCTGAAGATTTCTTAGTGAAGATGGAAACAAATTTTTATACTGATATTGCATTTTCAGCTTTAATAAGCGTGTGATGTATGCGTACGTTGATCAGATGGATTTTGCGGGTCGTGAGTTTGTTGCTGCTCTCCGACAATTTCTAGATGGATTTCGGCTTCCCGGTGAAGCGCAAAAAATTGATCGTTTGATGGAGAAATTCGCATCGCGCTACTGTGAATGTAATCCAAAGTAAGGATTGTGGAAATTTTGGCTCGCTTAAGCTAGATTTTGCGCCACACTAACTAACTTCCCGCTCATCTTGCAGGCAACAAAAGAGCCTTCCCTCCCCACGGTCTTTTTCTCCTGCTTTTGGGCAGCTGCCATAATAAGTTCCCAGTTATCCGGTTTTTAAATTTCTCTTCAATTTTCAGTCTCGGTCTTTTCGCTTCTGCCGATACTGCTTATGTACTGGCGTATTCGATCATTATGTTGACAACTGACTTACATAGTCCGCAGGTAACTTCAGCTTGAATCCTATTAATTTCAGTCACTTTTATTCGTTCAAGTTAAGACACTTATGCTTTTGGTAGATTAGCGTCTTCACATTTAAGAATTCCGACAATCTTTGTCTGTCTTGCGATTCATTGATAACCTCATCATAGCTACTTTCAGGTTCGAAATAAGATGACAAAAGAGCAGTATATTGCAATGAACAGAGGAATAAACGACCAATCGGATTTGCCGCGGGATTATCTGTCCGACATTTATGATGAAATTGCTGGCCATGAGATTAAGATGAAGCCAGGCCTCAACAAACTCCCAAAACAAAGTATGTTGGCTTGCTCGCTTGTCGGAGTAGCCCTCGAAAATGCTTATTTTTGGCAGATTGCTATTATTTTAGCCATTTTTGAGCGTCTCGTTGACAGGGTAATAGTAATAGAGTTTTGAATGTATGATGATCCCTGAACTTTACTGCGTTTTGCTTTGTTTTCTCGTTTAGATGCGCAAGCGACATCTGAACGACAGCGTAAACTTCTGCAAGATGTGGAATTGGCGGCGATGGCACAAACAGCACGAGCCCTTATGGAAGCAGCTTCACACTATGAAGCTGCCTTCACCTCCGCTTCGCACTACGAACACGTCAGACCCATGTTTAAGGTATTTTAATATATACTTAATTTATGATTTTAACTCAGATCTGAGGCGATGAAACGAATTTTGGGTTTGCTAGTATGCTAACTACCAGGCAATGTAGCATTGGTCAGAGCAACTGGGAAAGTTGACAGCTGCGTAGCTGAAGAACCAGACTATTAAGTTATAGCTAGTCGTAGCGTATTCGCTAACAGAAAACTTTGTACAATGGAGTAATTTATTACGTAGTCCTTGTTTGCTCGTTCATACAACCTTGAAAGTTATAGTTTGTTATTACACAATACATTTATTCATCGCAAAAGACCAATTTTCATGGTGATGAAGTTTTTTTTTTGACTTTATTTGTAGTATTTAGATTGCTTGGACACCTTGTCTGGCAGCATTCAGTATTGGCCTGCAAACATCGGAAGATGAGCACATCATATCGTGGTGCTTGCAAGGATTTCGACTTGGAATTCGAATTGCTTGCATATTTCGTTTGGCCTTGGAGCGGAACGCTTACATACAAGCACTGGCGAGGTGTGCTTTTATCCACTTTTGATGCTTTCATCCACTTTTCGTTGTTACTTCAAATTCGTACTCCAGTTGGCATCTATCTCTTGTTCGACGTCTGTGTTCCAGTGGGCCAACTTTCGTTTACTTCCTCGCAAGTTGATCGCTAGTAAAACGAAATCCCTGTTTTTTGGATAT